TACGATGCAATGCTTCGACTTCTGCACTCTATTTGCAGCAAGTTGTAGATGTCTTCTTTACACGTGTATTCACACATTCTTTGAGGATGCATATGTCGTCCTTTGTTTCGTTCTTCGTCGACAGGCTTTCGCCCGCATCACCCCAAAACCCTATTCTACTTATTAAAGCCCCGACATTATGGGGTCTAGGATGTAGGGGTTTGGGCTTATACTACTACTACTACTACTACTACTACTACTACACTACTACCACTACTACTACTACTACTACTACTACTACTACTACTGCAACTACTACTGCGTGAGGGTTTGGTCTTGATGTTCCGTATAATCGCTCACCTTACGGAACTATATGTTGATGCTATGTAGCCCACGATCGGATAATAACAGTCGTTCCCTGAGCAGGCACCGTCGGTCCACTTTTGGCACTTCTCGCGCTGGGGGACGAAGTATCTGTGCACGGGGGCAACACACAATGGCTGGCAACTAGAACACAAGTGTACGTATGCTGCTCTGTTGACCTGAGCTCTTTGAGCTTGGGGTCTTGAGCCATGAGCCAAACGTTCGTCGGAGTTGACATGTGATAGATCATGTGGCAGCACGTGGCTCCCCACATGTCTAATAGCTCTCCAGTACGGAAGCCGGAGGCACGCCGTACGCTGCCTAATAACATTGCACTAGGCTTCGAGGTCTCTTCGCACCCCCCATGAGTTAAGCTTCAAGCTTTGCTCAACAAAGGAAGAGAGTCGCGGGACTTGAAAAGAAAACACTCGACAGCGACCGTCTGTAGCATTGTGTGTTTGAATGCCCAATTAAACTTTGCGTGAGACATAGCTACGTCGGCTGCGATCCCCTGCTTCGGTGAGAAATGAAAGGATGCATTCAAAGAAATATATTCGCGAAATGTGGCGCATTCAGCCATGTCCAACATACGAAAAGGTAATGGATGCGGTCGGCAATGCGCACGTAGAAGATCACCTGTGCCATCGGTTGTCATCGTTTCGGCAATCCCTGTCGTAGCGATAGCCCGACGATGATCCTGCTGACCGACTATCATAGGCGCGCTGACTGCATTGCCACGGTTCATGCTGTTGTTGTTGATGTGGTGGAGGAGTAGCTTCTCGTGATCCGGGATAGCGCCGCGGTCGTGCACCGGCCTTGGCTCTGCGTGCTTCTTCGGGCTGCGGCTGCTTCCTGTGGTGTGACCGGCGTGTCCATGATGCCTCGCCGTCCTCCCAGAGATGGGCCGAGGGAAGGTGATTGAGTGCCGAGGTGTTCTTGGACTTTGGGGCTTGTTGCCTGCTGGTCGTCAGTTTATGAATGAAGCTGGCCGGCAACTGGATGTCAATGTCAACCAAGAAAGACAAGAATGTCCTTGTACAGTGACCTGGTCCGAACATCATTGCAACACCGCAAGGATCAATGCATAGCACATTCCTGTGGCTGTGCTGGTTCATAGGTTGCAACATTGTAAACCGACTGAATCCGGTGACCTTACCGACGATCTGCTGTAACAAAGCGTAACAGCTGGAATGCATCTGTGGTGTGTCTTCGTCTTGGTCATCACGCATATGGGAACGAGGATCGAAATTTTTCCTCTGGAATCCGTGTTGAACTGCTCCTCTCATGATCTGTGATCTGAGCCGATGCGTCCTGAATCTTCGAAGCAAGTAGGTGCCGTCTGGATCCCCTCATAGTTGTTCTTGCTCACTCCATAGGCGAGGATGTCCGTATCTTGAACGTCTCGTGAGATGTAGGTATCTTCGTCGACCTCCGATAACACTTCACCCCATTCACCGAGAACGTCATAGCGTTTCCTTTCTTGGAAGAGCTGACGCATCGTCTGTAATGGAATCTCCAGCCACTTCATGTTTGCTTTCCAGTTCTTGTACATGTAGCTGACGGTGGTGTGTGCCATGAAGGGTGCGAGGTCGGATCAATCGAGTTGCGGAAGAAGCGGCACTTGCAGCTAACGACGAACCTGTGGATAAGGAAGAACCGGATGGTGAATTGGATGCCGAGGAAGCACTGTCGGAACCAGCACCAGAGATGGAAGACGAGGAAGACGAACCGATTGAGGTGGCCAGCTCCCGTATGCCCGTGCTGATTGATGACACCGACTTTCGCCTGGATCAAGACCTGGCACATGCGAGATCGAACATGCCTGTACCCATCTTGTTGATCCGAATCTATCCATCGCTCAACTCGATGTCTTCGTCTCGGAGACTCGATGTACCGTGGCTCATCCGGAGTTCATGGCGTTGAACTGCCAGGCTGACCATTCTGTGGTCGAACGGTTGGACATCATGTTCGATGGCGCCTTGATTGTTCGGCTGCGCCAAACGAATCCCAAGGAATTGTAGTCGAACTCTGTCGTAACGGATGTGATTGAGAATATTGCCCTCATACAGCAACTGCAGTCGACAGCAAATCTGGCGTCTCCGCTGGTAGGCGTTGTTTCGAGACAAAGGCTGACAGTCCAACCTACGGTTGCGATGACACCATACAACATCCAATTCCAAGAGAGCGTCCAAACGTACCCAACCACCATCATCGCAAGGGATGATGGGGACCTCCTGGTTCCCAATCCGATAGCACCCGGTTTTCCCTATGTAATGCCTCAAGTCCTTCTGAATGAACTTGACAGCTTCCATTGCATACCACTTGCGACTTTCTTCAATGTCGGTGAAAGGGCCGGTCCGACGAACAAAGCTCCAGTCAGGATGGCAGAAAAAGCAACCTCTCTCTGGAGTTAGATCGTCGAGGCGGTTGACAAAGTCCAACTCTGGCGTGTTCATGTCGGACTGGCCCACATAGTGCGCCACCCGCAACTGCCCGACCTCCCGAACGAGACTGATGCATATACTATGCCAACTGCAATTCTCAGTCAGGCATCATCGGTCCACTTCGAGCTTTGCGGCTCGACTGTCGCTGTCTGCCACTTCAGGCGGGCAACCTCCACCTCGAGGAGCGCTATCTCCCAAGCCTTGGAACCGTGCTGCAGAAACTGAACCAAGCCCACAAGGCAACATGCCAGGCTCGCCTTCTGCTCGCGGAAGTTCTCCCGATTTCGGAGGCGATCGCTATGCGAAAGCCCAAGCCTCTCCTGTTCAGAGCCACGCGAGAGGATGCATGGCAAATCTGAAACTTCCAATCATGACAAAAGCTTCAGCTATAAGACGTCCGAAAGCTGGAGGTGCCAAACATGGTGGCAGCATGCAAAGGAGCTGAGGCGGAGCTGAAACCCATCTTCACCGCCTGCAGCTTCAAGCCAGCATAGCCAAAGCTGTCCAAGTCTGGCTGGAGCGCCTCAGCGCACACCGTGGAGCATCAGTCACTAGATGAACGTGAAAGGCTGGACATACAAACAAGGCTGCAGGCCTGAGGCATTTACCATACAAACATGGAGACACACCGTGTTGGCAACAGCTTTCTTGAATCAAACTGCCAAGGTTGCACCAAAAGGTGTGGAGGCAGGCGATGTCAGCGGACGTCTGCTCAGAAAGAGCCGGCCAGACTGGAAGACGTTCCTCCGGCGAGCGCCAGGGTACTTAGTGAGCCTTTGGAGCAGTCACATTAAGAAGAGCAAACCCCACCAATTCGGGATGTGGGTCCTCGAACAATTCCGCCACTATCTGCCAAGCAGAGACACGGAGCGTAGTCGCTTGATTGGGTGGCTTTGTGACGTCGACCGTCTTGCACCACAGGCGTTGCCTGCAAGCTCAGTCTGCGATGTCCGATCCCAAACCTGAAACCCCAGGGTTAGCAGTTGTGCAGACAAAACAAAAACGGATCTTGCGTGGCGTCCTCTCGCGAGGCTGGCAGCACAGGCGCAGTGATGTGAGGCCGTGTGGAGGTGTGTGGCTTTTTAAGTGACTTTAATCGGTTGTATCGCTGGCGGGGCAAGTTGGCTCCTTTCAGCTTTTCTGGTGCAGTTCCTGCCCATGCAGGGTACGGGCAGTCAAAAAGGACAAGAAACAGACTCTGACAAAGAACTTGGGGGGGAGCCCCCGCCCACCAACAACGAGCCCTGACTCTTGTATGGAAAGAACACGATGTGCATCGTCAAGCTGAAGCATCGGGTCGTCATGACCGTCAGGATCCATGATAGGACCGACTTTGCATACACGCATGAAGCGATGAATGCTGCGTCGATGTATATGCGACATAGATCGTTCCCTCCGCCTTCTTGGATACCTTTGCCGGCATAGACTTCCGCGAAGAACTCCTTGACGATTTGGCCCTTTGCTTTTCCGGAATCTTCTGTTCTCGATCTCCTGTCTTGTGCAAAGGTTGTAAGCCTTGTATGACTGACTTCGACGGTCTTCTTACCGTTGTTCTTGTTCTCGCATTCGCTGAGGATGGACGTGACGTTGGACTCATCCTCGGTGAAGAATAGATGGCTCGGAAGCTGAAGGCTTTCTCTTCTTCCGTGGTAACGCTGTCAACTGTCAACGGACAAAGCTACCGGATCGTCGGCTATGGAATCTCCAGCAGCCGGCATAGCGATCGAGCCATCCCCAAACGTCATTGTCGTATCTGCGGTCGATCCAGATGTCATTCTTGAGTGGTACCTTGTCGAACACCAGTCTCTTGTCGGCAAGCCGCGTACGGCTGATAACCTGCGTGAGGGTTTGAAGTCGATACATTCCTTGGATGCTCACCTCACAGAGCTAGATGGTAAAGAGTGGTTGCCAACTGAAAAGTAGATCACGCAGTGCAGGTACCACTTGATTCCAGCTCCCTTGCAAACGCTCACTCGCGCTTCCTTTTTGCAAGGGGGGATGGCTCGAATGCTCTAGGACCGCAAGCTATGTTCAAACTTGTTAGCAGAGTAGCGAGCTGTGAAGCTCGTTCTTGAGCCACGATGTTGGCGGGGCATTCGTAAGAAGACAGCTAAACTGCAAGCTATACCTGTACTGGTAGTACTACTACTACTACTACTACTACTACTACTACTACTACGCGACGACTAATGCTACTACTATTAATACAACTAGTATTCCTAATGCTACTAATACTACTTGTGGTGCTACTACTACTACGACGACGACGACGACTACTACTACTACGACGACGACGACCACTGCTACTACCAATGCTACTAGCACTACTGATACTACCAATGCCTCTTGGTCCGCCGCGACTGCTATGGCTGCAGCTTCCGCACGACGGCGACTGCTTCTACTACTACTGCTACCACTACCACATCACCACGACTCCTTCTGCTGCTGCTTTTGCAATACAAAGTAGAGCTAGTACTGCTACTATTCCCTACTGCCGATGGAGAAATGATCTTCCAGGCTGGCAGCAGGGGATGTGACTTCTGCACGCACCTTTCCGGCTGTCCCGCTCCTGCAACCTTGCTTAGTCCCGTTCGAACACAACTAGACCGATTCATTGCCGACAGTTTACACGAGGCAGTCGCGCTCACCTTCAATAGACAGGATTACGACCAAGCTTGCCCTCGACAAACATACCAGTCTGCAAGGGTTTCTCAGTGGGTTGCGGCACATGGTTATCCAATATCAAGGTCAAGCCCTCGGCGTCTCCATGCAGTCGCGGCCAGTGTAGAAGGCGTTCGCATGAGCTTGAACCCAGTTGTACACTTTGTCCCTGACCAGGCAACGGACCACTGTGAAGCACAATGCAAGTACGGCCTCGATCACCCTCGGTCGTGCTTGCATGAGTCAGCCAAGCGTCTTGCAGCAAACATATGCTCGGGCGAATGAGAGTAAATGAACTGGCGGCTCTGGGCCCATAGCATCTGACAGCTACAGTAGCTATTCTACCTGCCACGCAGTCAATTGCCTGTAGTTCGGCCTCATCCATTCGAGCAGGTTGGGCATGGCTGACCTTCTTCCACACAGACAAGAGCAGTCGGCTGACCTCTCTGTGACAACTGTGTTCTGCAGCTGGACATCTACAACCAACCAGTACGATCCAAGCTGCTTCGAGCCGTCTTCCGTCTCTTTGAAAGATAGCTTGACAGAGCGCAAGACAAAGTCGTCATGCAACGTCTGGACATCGATGACGAAGTTTACCTTCCTTACAAAGACATGGAGGTGGAGCAACACATGCAACGGGGAGGGTATGCATGGCAGAAAATCCAAGGCTCTCAAGCACCCTGAGCCGGATCAAATTCTGAGTCCTGCTGCTGCGTGAGCTGCCGCTTCCGTTGCTCCTGCGCCAACACGTTCCACATCTCTTGAGCACAGCATCGCCCCGGTGGCCCGGTGTCCTGCTGCTGCTTGAAAAATTCTCGGCAGGGGACTTGTGCTTATCCGACCTGTGGCAACGGTCTCTGTCCCAGCTCTGGCTCACATGGCGCCGGAAAGCCAAGCTGCTTCACTCCAGCACCTTGCGAAGGAGGGCCGGAAAATATCACGCTCGTGTATCCGCGGCAAATGCGATAGCAGATCTTCTTGCAGCTGTCATCAGTACGCTGCGGTGACCTCCGATGCTGCTTGCAGCCAGGGGGCCCAAGATGTGGCGCATGTCTGATGATTGCGACGAAACATGTGTCCGCAATGTGCGATCGAAGCTGTCCCTTGCCAGCTGGGATAGCTGGGCTTGGGCATGCCACTAGCTCAACAGGAAATTTCTGAATGCCCTGCCCCGGCATGTTGTTGCATTGTGCCAAGCTGCACTAGCTCGGTGGGCCCAGTCCGCTCTGCAATCTCCTGTGCAGCAAAAGGCTTGGTACGCACACACAAACACAGGTTCTGCAAAGTATCGCCGTTCGTGCCTGACTTATTCCGATCAAGTGCTCGTGCGCCTGATCCGACCTGCACCCGTGCAGTGTTTCACTTGTTCAGGACAGTGCTTGATGTATGTGGAAAGCCGTCCTCAAGGATGGAACAGCAACATGAAAGAGCTCGGCATTGAACGAAATTCCGCTGGAGTCCTTCATCTGCAGGTGCATCGACCTCTGAGCATCTGGCGATGGACATGCGGCAGAAACAACCGCACTGCTTCATCAAGCATCCTCAAACGCAGTGCGACAGCGGGCGCTCAACACCAAAGCACAAGCGACCTTGGAGGTCTGTCCCCCTGGGACGACTCTGCAATAAAATCCTGGAGGCGCTGCTGGTCACCTCTGGCTCGGCTTGCGCATCAAAGGAAGTCCATGCATGATTGCTGACATGCTTGCTTGTTGAATGTCGCATGCCTGCGGCCACATAGCGGCAGAAAGAGGCACCTGCTAGGGGCCGAAACAAAGCTCTCCAAGATCTGCTGAACAAAGTTGAGGGGCGTTTTGAATCCATCCAATACAAGAGCCATTTCCCTGTACTGTCCGGTGTATACTGAACTGCTTAGCCTGAAGTCAGATGGTCACCGAAACAGGTCTCTGCAGTTGATGGTTTCGAGGGTGCCTGCTCCGAAGGGCAAGGGTTGCTCAGACGAAACGAGGGCGCGGCCTTCGAGGCTGGGTTGGCTGCCAGATGCACCAAAGCCGCACATCAGGAGATCGGAGAGGCTGTGCGAGGAACCAATTATCCTGGAGTATGGAGTATGTATGTGGCAATAGCCATAAGGCGACATGGCAGAAACGAAAGCCTCCCGTCCTGAGGTCATCCGATAACCTTGTGGAAGCATCACAAGTCACAGCCAGCAGGCGCTGCGCAGCTGCACCGGAACGCTCAGCTTCTTCGACCTCTCTGACCTGAAGAAGCAGAGGAGATTGGCAACTCCGGTATTCACTGCCGCCTAGTTAATTCATCTTCCCGTGGCAGTGACCTTGGCTTCCAATTGCATGTTGGCCGCGGCGATCTCATACTCTTTGTCATTCAGTGTCCCAATAGCCAATGCAGTCACGCCGAGGGTTAAGACTTCTGAGATGACAAAGTAAAAGAGATCAGCAGTCTCAGCGTCTGCCTCGAGTGGGAGCTTTTCATGTCGGCAAGCTGCTGCAGCAACCGAACCCGTGGAAGCACAACAAGTCGGTCCTTTTGCATCCAGTGCGAAAGCACCCACCTGCAGAGATTTACGGAGGCTGATCTTTTCAGATCTATTAAGACCATGCCGAAGAGAACCAATTTAAATGTCCTACAAGTAGAATGCTGTTCGCAGGTCTTCGGTTATAGCCGCAGCACAAGGGCGCGATCAGGATATTCACCATGTTGGAGAACTGAGCATCAGCGCCAAAGCTGCCGAGCATGATGCGCGCAACATAGAGGATAGGCATCAACTCCTGAGAACTGCGATGAAATGCGAACTGAAAGGATGAACACAATTATTATGCTTGCTGGGCCACCACCGCCCCCAAACATTGCACAACCAAGGCTCTCTCGGAAAGCCCACGCTGGAAAGAAGGATCGCCAGGTATGTGCTGAGGGTGAACTGCTGCATCACTGAAGCCTCTCCGAAAATATCGCTGTGTAAAGCTGCAGCGCGCTATGGTTTGACATAGATCTCACCGATCGTGCGATCTTCGACAGCTGCAACACGAAGACCTGTCTGATACCGCAAAATCAAGAAATACATGTCTAAGTCCGTCTGGCAGCCGTGAGCTCGACACTTGGCTTGGCAAGCTTGTGCAGAGCAGGCACCACCACAAACCCACCTCGGAACAGCTTGGGATAGTTGCTGCATTTTCAGTACAGAAAGGGACGTTTCTATCACAATCCCTCTGCTTCACAGAAGCTCTCGGACTCTCAGTGCTAACCTCATTCTGAAATTATGTTCTGCGGTTTTAAGAAGCCGCGGCGCTGAGGAAGCAAGGCAGCTGTGACGGGTCGCCCCAAGCGTAACAATTCACCTCAGCAGAGTCAGCTGTGCTGACCCGTGCAAAGGGAAGGAGGCACCGGTTTTTCGCAGCCCCTGAGCCCAACTTAGAGCACTCGCGTTGAAAACCGTGCTGCAGATAACCCTGAAGCTGGATCCAGGTGGCGACGCAGAAGTATGGAAGCCAAAATGCTTCAATCATGACCGACCAGACCTTGCACCAGCCGACCCGCACTGCTGTCTGCCAAGCTTGAAACTCAGAGGACTTGCACGATATAGCTGAGACAATACTTCAGACTTCCGAGACACGCCGGCTGTCTCCTTCAGATGCTTTTCACGTTTCCGGTGCCTAGGCAAGGCATCCCGCAGCTCCGCGATAAACTTGGATTTGGGCCCGGCATATTCAAGACAGGAGGTAATTTGAGGCAGGTCGGGGATGAGGGAGTTGTTCATCAGAGGTTTTGCAGGAACAGTCCTGCTTGGAGTAGCAGCAAAGAACACAACCCGCAGCATGCAGCCTCAATCGCTGGTGACGGCTAGCACTGACATTAGTAGGCTGAGAATACCGCTGGCCGGGTAGTAAAAATCCTGACGATAATGGTCAACGATACGATGTTATCACTAGTTCGGAATCGTCTCCCTCGTAAGTAGTATCACTTTTGTACTTTGGTGATAGTCTTCCTCGTCATTGTAACACTGAGTGAGCTTATGTCCTTCAACAGGAATTTTCGTTGGTTTCAATGACATGCCCTGCAGCCCCCTGGCTCCAATCAACTGGCAATCTGGGGCCCAAAGCTGAGCCTAAGTGTGCTACGATGAACCCTGACGGAGCAGTGTAAACATCTGGAGGCCTACAAACGAAAGCTGGGCTCTCAGGAACAAGCTTGTGGAATCCAGCGCATCAACCCGGAAAGCCTCAAGAATGAAACCCCCGCTCGAAAGAGAGAAGCATATAGAAGCACAGCATGCGATGGCTGCAGTCTTTGCGTTCCAAGATACACGGAAGCGAAAACTTCAGGGTCAACTGGTCTTGAGTTACTGGCTTCTGCCACCGACCAATTCTGGACTGTCTTGATAAAGTGTGGGACCCACTCATCCCAGGAACGCAGCCTCCAAGCACCATGCTATTGTTTCGCGCCAAGCGCACAAGCAGGGCTAAACTGTCGTGGCCTCCATGGCGTCTAGAGACTTCACAGCACTACTAGGGCAGCCAAGCAGAACTTGAGGGAGCCCGTGACACTGTCGCACCCGGCCTTGCCGTGTAGAAGTGCAGCACCACGACGCCCACCAAGCCAGTTAGCAAGGAGGACAACATGGGCGACGGAAGGTATACTTAACAACAGCTTGCTGCGTATTGCCCCTGTCAGTACACTGCTCGCGCTGAGCACTACCTTGAGCACAGCTGGCAGCCTGCAATTTGTTTCGCCAGGTTCGCAAGGTGGTGTCTCTTTGAAGCGGAACTCTCGCGTCTTACTCCAACTAACACTTCACAAAAGTCAATGCCCGTGCAACAAAGGCTCCATGCTCTCTGAATCTCGAAACACATCACATTTCCATGGCCGGGGCACTCCCATGTCCAACCCAGTGGACACGGCTTGCGGTAGTCGTGCTTCACATCGCGGCAAGGCCAAAGAATCCAGCCTCTGACAATTCTTCCAACTTTGCTCACACACACACAGACTGGTCCACGTCACCAATCCATAGGGAACGACGGTGTAGTCACGGCAAGACTATCCCGCTTGAAATCCCTTGACAACTCAGGCAGCTGTGCCGGCTCAACAGGCAGAATCACCTAGCTCAGCTCTATCTGTTTTAGCTGAGGAGCACGAATCATACAGCTCCTTCCTTTCCCACTCCTCCACAAGCAATGCCGACAAGCAAAGCAAAAGCAAGTGCCAAGCATGCCAGGTTTCCCCAATTAAAAACATCTCAACTGCATCAAGCCCTTCCCGACACTGAGGCGAGCGGGGATGACTTGGCGTGAAGTCAACTGCTGCCGGCACCAATCGGATTCCTGAAAGAAGCTAGTCCAAGGCGGACATTCACACCTATGGTAACGTGAACTAAGCTGCAGCCGAAAGTGCGGTGTAGAAATTCGGTGGAGCTTGGCACTCAGGACCCTGAGGGCCAGCGGGAGCCTGCATCAAGCTTAGGCTTAGGCACGGCTCTGCGAGGCGATGAATCTTTGAGATTCCTGGGTTCGGGCTAAGCCGAGTCTGACTTCCGCTGTATTCACACTGCACCGTAAGAGTTCACGACTCTCTCTTGGTGACTGCTCTTTTGCCTCAGTGTCGAGCCAAACTCAGCCAGGCCACGTACTTCCAGCCGATAGGGCAGGTCTGGGCATAGTCGATCCCCTTCTTGCATGACTTCTGTTCACCTGATTTTCCGAAGCACTTGTTGTCTTCTCTGCACGTCTTTTTGTTACACCTGTACGCCACACAACCCCGAGGCCTGACGCTGCTCTTTCAACATGCGCTTCAATGCTGCACCGTCTTATCGAAGCATCACTGCCAGAGAGAACCGACTCTGCTTTCTGTTTTTGCAGCCAGGAAGCCGTGAGGCCTTGGCCGAGCAAAAGTTTGGCTCCACTCTCTGCCGCTGCATCCCATCCCTGCCGAGAGGCTTCGGACCGTCCTTCCCGCGGTTCTCTGGATACGTGTCCGGGTCCACGTAATCCTCTCACGAAGCTTTGGGCCCTGGACGCATAGTAACTCCGGTGCCATCAGGCTACTGCAGGCCTCGGGCGCCGCCTCGTGCTTGTCACGGGGCTCTGCTGGTTTCTTCGTGTCCGGCGGCTCGTAGGGCTCAGAGGGGCATTGACCGGTGTAAAAGAATCCCGGTGCAAAGGCTTAGACTGTCGGTCAGCTCTCGCATCGTGAGTGTCGGGCAATCTCATCCAGCTTGAAGGATGTTGGCCGAGCGCAGCGCGCCGAGCAGCCCGGGCCAGACCTTCGCATTGCAAACGCATTGCTGCGCATTGCCACGCTCACCGCACAAGCTCACCGCACCCAATCTCTCAGGCGCCAAGACGCTTCTCCAAGAAGAGTGCAGACGTCGCCATTCCATGTCCAGGCATGCCCCGATGAGGCCAGAACACAGTGCATTCCGCAATCTTGTGTACGAGTCAATGAGCAGCTGTTGAGAACTTCAGACGGCTCCAAACTGACACTGTCGTAAACTATCGCGGTGGTCTAGAGACTCTACGTAGACTCTCTCCAGCCTTAGATTCTCAAGCTTTCGTACTTCCGTCTTTGACATACATATGCGGTGCTGTGCGGCTTCCGTACGGTGCGCCTACTTGCCGCTGCAGGCGCGACGGACCACAGCAGTGTTTGGGTCTTTCCTCTCGCGCTCTCGGACAACCTAAGGTTACCGAACAAACGACATGTAAGCACTGCTAACAGAGTAACCCAACCACAAGCGCCACTCTGCTACCGCTACCGCGGAGGAGCTGAAATATAGCCTCGGCTGAGGAGTCGACTAAGTCGGTTCTACCTCAGCTGTGTCCCACTGAGAACGCGCCTCCGGCCCTGCAATGGTTAGTTTGACATGTGCTGAGCACGCCACTGACAAAGATCCTCCCCTGTCGGAGGTTGGCCTCCGCATGCACTCAACAAAATGTGATTCCAATTCGAAAGTCTGATTACATGCCCGGAATCCACACACGTATTTCAAAATCCGCCTTGAAGTGGAGGATCGGCTCTGCCGGTTGGATCCATCCATACTTTCCCTGCAACATGTTGACCAAACCGCAGATACCACTTCAGAGGATGAAGCTGCGACTGCTATCTACGCAAAGTCGGAACCGAGACTTTTCTAAATCAGGAAGCCAGGAGACCGGACCACCAGTTCAGACGCTTAGCAGCCTCAGGAGACCACCCAGAAACGAACGGGAAACCACGAGAGACCACCCGATGACCGGCAAGAGACCCCAACAAAACCACCAGGAGACCTCCAACTACCACCAAGAATCCTCAGGAGACCGTCGGGGCACCACCCAACAAAGACCACCAAAACACGGTTGGGAAACTGAACGGCCAACACTGGCGGGGCCAAAAAGCGTCCCCGAAGCACGGGCGGGATCCAGAGATGTAGGCGAAACAAGTAGGCAATGCATTGGAGTTTATATTGAATCAGTCTTTGAGGCGGCCGGGCCGCATGAATCCTGTGTATTTAAGACGGGACATGAGTGCGCCACCTGTGGATAACATCCCTGCCTGCGAGCCTCGTGGAGGCTCTAACAAATCTCCTCTACCCCCAACATCCCGACATACGAACCCCCTATTGTGTGCCACACCGTTTGTGCGAATGTTCTATTTTGCGACACCGATCTCACACTCAGCCAGTAGCTGGCCACAAAGACCCAGAAAAGGTTCAAAGAACTCTACCGCGGCAAAATGGCCTTCCAATCGACCACCTGCAGCCGTGCAGGCTTTTGTTCTTGCCCCACAGCTCAGCTACATCTGCAGTGGAGCTCCGAGGCTAACATCTTTGCTTGCGCTGACTGGCATCTGCTAAGGCCTGTCCCAAGAAGACGCGGCCCCACATGAGACGCTTCCTCGGCCCACCTTGAAGCTGTCAATACAATATCATGCAGTGCCTTCATCCAAAAAATGACATTGGAATACATTGAACCTTTGACACCATGGTCGTGAGTCGTGACTGCACTTCCTCTCCGTCTTCCTGAGCACTTGGCCAAAGCTCTTCTTGGAGTCCTGGCACAAGAAAGGCTGCACAAGCATGGCGCCGAAGACAACAGGGCTTCCAAGGCCTGAGGCTGGGCCTCTGTGGGCTGCTCGGCCTCCACCTTCCCAAATGCGAGTTGGGAAAACTAAAGTCCCCTATATTCATATACAGGATATGATGGAATAAAACTAAAACCATATAATAATGAAAGATAATCCCAAGTTTTGTAAGCAGTGCATACGCCGAAGGCGCCCTGAGACCGACGGCCTTCTCTACCTGACTACATTTCTACGTCTGCGCAGGGAAGAAAGTGTGCCTTTGGAGCTTCAGCGGCCTGACCTGAGCCGAATATTGGGCAAAGCGGGATGCGGGGTGCAGTGGAATTTTGGGTGATAGGACCCGGAAAGCAACAATCGTGGGCGCTTCAACAGTGCGTGCTACAGTACTTGGACTTTGTTTGCTGCTTTGAAGAGGAGCCAGCCCCACTAAAGGCCCTGCATGCTCTTCTGGCTTGCTGACGGTTCCACGACCATAATGCTACACAGGGCCTGGATTGGCAGTGGAAACTATCTCTCGATTGATTTAGAGATCGGACAAACCGGAATTGCAATCAATCCACCACGTGTTGACGACGGCGGCGGCGAAGATAAAGACGAGAACAGAAACACAGGTGCAGCCGCGGTTTCAGCAACAGGTCCTGCTGATATTGTTGCTGCCGCTGTTGCTCTTCTTAGCAATTCGGTGGTGGTGGTGGTGGCGGCGGCGGCGGTGGTGGGGGGGGGCGGCGGCGGCGGTGGTGGTGGTGCGTGGTGGTGGTCGGTGGTGGCGGTGGTGGGGGCAGCCACAGCAGCATTGCTGCTGCTGCTGCTGCTGCTGCCGTTACCGCTGATAGTGATGCCATGGGGGTGAGAGGTTCTTGCCTTTGGGACGTCGATTTCAGGCCCTTAAAGTGCCAGCCAGACTTTGCTTACCCCGCAAAAATAGAGCGTAGGTGGCACTCATTGCCAACTGAGCTGTTTCAAAGGGCCATTACTACTACCAGTATTATAGTAATAGTATCTGAATATTATTGTTATTGAGCACCCGGCCTTCTGCCATGGCGTCCAGCGCTCTGCAAGCAGGCCCTGCCCACGTGCAAGGTGCACCCGGGACTAGACTCAGACGAAGGTAGCCTTACGGCTACTACAGCACTAAGGGGTTCTAAGGGCCTGTGTCCAGCCAGACCTCAACAAAGAGCCGGCCTACGTTTAGGCTGTTTGCATGACAGACCCAGATGCACCACATATCACCATACCAAGTCTGACGATGGACCGTTCGCAAGCCGAGCAGACCCGCCCCAGGGTGCGAGAAACGACAGGCCTTGAACGAGCACACTTTGTATGTTGGCAAGTTGGTCAAACGCAAACTGCTGCATCGGGAGCATCTCAAGGTTGTGTTGACCAATTTGACCACAGATCACGGCTCCTGCCTGGACACCGCCTGAATCTGCAGGCTGGCGCGTCCTCCCGAAAGTCCGGACGCAGAAGAACGGAGCACCGACAGCCAGATATTTGCTTCCAGATGGGAGCCACTCACGAGCTTCGCCCTGTATTTCACACACGTGTCCTCAAGGCTGCTGGCTGCTGGCGGTGCCACGTACGCTTCAGTTCTTCGAGCCAGGGAAGGTCGGAATGTAAACGGCACAAGCATCGACTTACACTGCGAAATTGTTTCTTGGTCTTTGTGCACACAGGCAGGTGCCCTGCTGAACTGCGAGTACAAACCACAACCGCCGATGTCTTATTTCTGGTGCCGGTAGGACATGAGTCAATCTGCGGGCTCACCTGATGCTGCGGTTGTCGAAGTCCTTAGTGGCACAGGTCCCCGCCAGCTCACCCTCAACACATCGTGCCGCATGCCTCACGCTCCATCCTGGGAACCCGAGAGAGAAGCTACGCTGCCACCAAAGTGCCGTTCGATTGTGCTTCTCGAGCAGGTCTAGGAGCAAGGACTCCCACCTGGTCTCTGTTGTGCATGAGCATCTAGCCATCTACCACATCTTAACTTGCACTGGGTCAATCCTGTGTGGCGAGAACGGATCAAGGGACCAATGCTGCAGTCCGAGACAGCTTAGCAACAAACGTTGGCAGCCATGTGCCATGACAAACCATGGGGCACGATTGATGAACTGCGAAGCTGCTGAAGCTGAACAACATGAACTGAACAGCTGCAGCCAACCCAGAACACACGTCAGACAAACTTATGATCCAAGACTTTCAGCGAAAAGCTGGCATGCCCAGCAGCAAGAACTTGTGACCGCGTCCGGAGAAGGTGAAGCGCATCTGCAGATGATCTGCGTGGAAAATGAGAAGTGGTGGGCTCTCCTTCAGGTGCCAGGCTGTGCTGCGTGCAGGCTGGGCCCGGTATGAGTGAAAGGTGGACTGCTGCCATGATCGCATGCGAAGGCAATGTCCTACGCCCGTTGTGGACAGAAGCATACTGAATTCGCAACAGTTGGGGACGTTCTGCCAGACTGCCATAACGCTTCAGATCGCTTCAGGACTTCATGTCACCTCAAAAGATAGCAGATAGCCTTGCAAGTCGACCTTTGTGTTGGTATAGCCATGGCCCCACAACAGCAGCGTGGGGCTGACCTGCCTCGTGTGTTTTGAACTGTATAATGATTCAACAAGAGGCAGGTCGGCCCCGTGCTGCTGCTGTGGGGCTACACTCGATACTTGGCAATACCAATTTGCTGCTCGACTTGCAACCTACGCGTACCACGGGAGCCTTAGGTGCCTTATATACTTATATAACATTATATAACTCCTGTAGAGACAAAAACAAAAACCCGTGCTGAAAAGGTCCTGGGAGAAAGCCGCCGCCTTGGACATCTCCACCGCAGCAACCTCGGTTCCAACCCACATCTCCCCGAATCTCTTGCGGTGCTGTGCATTCTTGAATCTGAAGTCAAGGATCGGCTTCGGTGGAAGCCTCAAGCGGCAGCCCGAAAATGCTTCAAGTTCATGGAGGTGCGGTGCGATTTAGATGTGCGCCATCGTGGGCAGGTGCGGCTGTCAGCATGCTTGAGTTTAGTTTGCAGCTGGGCCAAGGGGCCCAAAGTGGGTTCAATTCCGCAAACCGCGAGTCAGGCTGAGGGTCCTCAAGGAAGGAGCCCCATCGTGCCTGTCGCGTGCTGCTGGACAAACTGACGGTGTCACAAGCTAACTATCTACACGTGCATCTGTCTGCACGCATGCTTCTACCAACATACTATACATGCACCTATCTGCACGCAGGTACACAAGCCTCTTTCGCCAAGTCCGTGACATCCCGCACTTGAAAACCTTCATGCAGAACCTGGTGTTGGTCTTTGCAAGGTCCAGCCAGATCGTGGGCTGCAAAACAAATCTAGTCGGAACAATCGAACGATTTTCGCCCAGCTGCACACCACATTTGGTATGCCACGTGTTCCTTAAAGGCAGCCAGACGCACACGCACACACAAACACACACACACACACACACACGGACAGAGACACATACACACACACACACAGAGACACGACAAACACTCAGCTTCAGTTAAGAAGACACTGCCGCCCCCTGCGGCCACCATCACTGTGACTGTGTCGGCAAGAGCTTACATACCAAACCCAGGGAAGAATACAGTCGACCAGCCACACAACAAATTCTAGCAAGGCTCGAACCGAGGAACACGCAGTTGTTGGACAAGGCCCTGCCACTCAGTGACTTTCTTGACGTCTGTACCTGCAAGACGAAGCATCTCTTGCCTGGAATTTGACAGCGTTTGCCGGCCTGCAGCTGATGCCAGCATACGTTTGGCGACTATGAGGTTAGCCCAAGGAATATCGGTCCACCTGCAGCATTCAATGCAGGTGTGCACCCGCTCTCTTCTACAGACCGGGCCCGACACCAAGACCACAAGCTTTTTGAAATCATCTCCTGCACCTTTGGTGGTTCATGTCTGCGGCTACAGCATTCTTGAGACTCTCAGGCACGGGCCAGAGCGCACTTTTCAGATCCACAGACTCTCCCCTCAGCTCCACCCACCGGGGCAGCGCACAAACCGGGATCTCCCAGGACCACTCCAATCGGCAGGAGACATAGAAGCTGCTAAGCGGAGCACTGACCGAACAAAGTCGAAATTCTCCTTCAAGAGAGCTTGATCCTGCAAAATGGAACCAACTGTAAGAACCAATTCACAGCGACCTCTGCACAGGCGACTGCATCAATTGCACCTGCCTCATACGTACTCTGTGCATTCTGTACTAATGCTGCGTGTGCAAAATCGCATGCTTGTCTGCGGCATAATTACTCATTTCAATCAAGCCGCATACTGCTTTCCTCGGAACAGCGCCGCGCGTGCAACAATGATAGGCCCAAATCATGATATCGAGATGCTACACTCTTGAACCGAGCCACCGCTCATCACCTGAGTGCGCACATCCCTCCAATGTCCTATATGACTGAGCTGAGCCGTCAAGCTCCAATGACACACTGCATGCTGCGCACGACCGGAACATATGCCACGCAACCACTGCTGCAAGGTTCTGCTTTCGCCCGGACCACCTGAAGTGTTGCGGTGCAGCCATGGCACGTAAGAAGTAAAGTTGTAGACCACCAAATTATCACCTAGATCATACAGACACCAGTGGTCAACCACACATCATCGATCGATGCACTTCAGCTGCGCTGCTCACTCGGGCAGCATTGAAGGTCTTTGCCTGACGCATGCGATGTCGTTTGGGATGTTTGGGACCCCCTTTTTGACTCTGTCATGCTTGTTGCATTGGTGGCTCGTCATGTCGTGCAAAAGTCAGGTCCAGGGACTCTTCTGATATGTGGTGCATTAGTTCAGGAGCCGTAGAGCAGGAGCTCTGGTTGCTTCATCTCATGCAATGCAAAATGATCCCAAACAGGGGCGCTAAAGGAATCGAATGCTTAACGTCTGTCGCACTGATCGATACAGCAGAAGCGATGTCCCAATACTTTGTTGTGGATAGTGGTCTCGAAGCGAAACGAAGAATTCACCGCTCCAGTTGGGAGTGCCATAATAAAGGGCTTAACAATGGGGTCCTCATGAAAAGGACATTTGAAGAGGGACCCCTATTGCCCAAACTTGTATCTTGCAGGTCTTTGCCTCTTCACACGCGTGCAGGCGCTGCAGAAGTTGGCTCCAGGCGCCCCCGGGATGGCAAGCCTCTCCGCTCTAACCCGAACCCATAATGAATGAAGGATGTTTGGCATCGTGGCCGCGATTGCGAGAATACTGCTCAGACTGATTCTGAGGCTGTCGCA